ATTATCAGCGAATTGTGTCCTCAGTTCTGTTTCATCAGTCAAAAAACAACAAGTTTTTTTACTTTTTCCCTGTTTTTTTTTCTAGCTTCTAAATGACCTCATGTTGAACAAACAATTGATTTTAAAATAGAACAGTGGATTTATCAATCAAATATTTAAATAAGATATATAATCCGTAGTTCAACAAGTTAACAAGAATTTCCAACAGTTTCAAGTAAATATACAATTACTGCTTGTTTCTTTGTTGTTCAATTTTTTACCATAGTTGACCAATGTCTAATATTACAATAAAAATTTTGAATATAGTTTTTTCCATGTCATCCAATTAGAACAGAATTTGAATCTCCTGACCACCAAACTGCATCTTGTGAATGATCACTTAAACGTTGAAACTTTTAATGCAGTTAAGTTATCGAGCTTTCTATGATGACAGTTTGAACGACAATTTCAACAGAGTTCATAAAGGGGGAAAAAAAAAGCAGAATTTTTAAATCATTTTTTTGTAAAAAAATGAAAACAACTAAACTGTAGCCAAATATTGTCAACAAATTTTATCAGCTAACCCAAAATAAGTGGCACCCTAAAAATTTCATAAAATTCACTGTATCTGCCAAACAATTTAACTTATTTCAAAGTATGATAACAGAAAAAAAAACAACTGTTGACAATAGATTACTTTTTAACGTTAGGCTGTAAATACAGCAACAATAATATTGTGCAAAAAAAAAAAATCAAATTTTCTTTTAAAATTAATATACAGTTATTTTTTTGTATTCTTTTTTTTTTTTGCTATTTTAATGTGGCAGTAAAAATTTTTAATCTAACAAAATTACCAATAATGCTAACTTTACGCAGGTAAAGTCAAAATTTTTGTGCATTTAAGTGTCAAATTATTACAGCTAAAAGGTTCAACAAGAAAACAAGAAAAAAAAAATCAACAATTTCATTTTGCAGTTTTTCATCTATGTTTCTTCCAGACTAATCAATCTTAAGAACCCTAAACCTCGCAACATCCACTGTTGTCGGTGCTGTCAACCTTCAATGTTTAATTTGATTTCACAAACAGATATACGACAACAGTTTGACTTGTTTCAAAGTATTGCAACAAAACAAAACAAAAAAAAAAAAAAAAAAG